AACTCCCTAATATTCATAATTTGAGCAGAAGAGTCCCTGCAGAAAAGTATTAAGTCATCTGCGAATTGTAGATGCGTCAAATGAAACTTATTTTCCGCCCTACCAACACTGAACCCTTCAAACAGAGCACAATCAGCAGCCTTAATCAACATTAGATTCATAATTCCCCACAATATTGAACAGCATAGAGATAAACTGCAGCCTTGTCTTACCCTTTCCCCATCTTGAATTCATTGGTCGGAGAACCATTGACAAGAACAGAAATTGAAGCGGAGGAGATACACAACTCAATCCAAGAAAGCCACCTATTTCCAAATCCCATAATTCTCAGGAGTCTCAACAATATCGGCCATTCCACCGAATCATAAGCCCTTCGAAAGTCCACCTTGAAAACAACACCTTTCCTCTCTTTTTTCCTCCAATCATCAATAACTTCATTAGCCAAGAAGACACAGTCCAGTAGCTGCCTTCCGGGAATGAAGGCAAACTGTGACGGACTAACCAGAACACTAATAACAGCCGCAAGCCTTCTAGCTAGAACTTTGGAAATTATTTTATACAAACTGCCAACTAAGCTTATCGGTCTGTAATCTTCTATACCTTCAGGATTTCTGGTCTTTGGAATCAACGTTAGGAATGAATGATTGACCCCGTGCTCCCAAATCCTTCCATTATAAAAGTCCTCGACAATTTCATAATGTATGACTTCAGAGATGGCCAAAATTTCTTAAAGAAACCCATTGTGAAACGTCTGGCCCCGGTGCTTTGGCACTGTCCGAGTGGAAGACTGCCTCCCACACCTCCTGTTCTGAGAATCTAACTTCAAGTAGCTTCTTTTGATCATCTGTCAATTTAGCAAAAGGCAAATTGATTTTGTCCACCTCTAGGGTTGTTACCGAGTTAAAATTGTCCTTGAAATAATTAAAAACAAAGCCTCTCAGCTGATCCGGTTCTGAAATAACTTCCTCAGCTACCTTCAATGAAAAAATGGTGTTAACCTATTCCTATTCAACGCACACATGTGGAAAAACTTTGTGTTTCTATCCCCCTCAATACTCCATCTCACTCGTGACCTCTGCAGCCAAATGCTCTCCTCCTTCCTATGCAAATTCCACACTCCTTCCTCGCAACAATCATCAAGTCCCGTTCTTGAAAGGAAGTCCCCTCTTCCTGTAGCTTCAATTCCAGACCATTAATTCTGGATTCTAATTCAGAAATAGCATCGGAAAGTCCCCTGTGATTATTCCTTGGCCAATTCCTAATAGCCTGCTTAGTTCCTCTAAGCAGTGAGAACAGACCCCTACCACCATACCCCTCCTTAGATTTGATAATGACGATTCCACCGCCCCAACAAACCCATCTTCCTGAAGCATGTAATTATAGAACCGAAACGGCTTAGGGCCCCAATTATTGCATTCTTCTACCAACAAAACTGGATTGTGATCCGAAAGGGATTTGGGAAGCATTTTTTGGATCACATTTGGGAACTGATTTAAAAATGATCCACTAATCAAAATCTATCCAGCCTTACCCATGTAGTTGACTCTCTATTATTGGACCATGTAAATCGCCCCCCTACTAGCGGTAAATCCATCAAATTTGAAGACTGAATAAAAGACCTAAGCAAATCCATAGAGTGCCAATTCTGAGTAAACCCACATTTCTCCTCAGGGTCTAGATAAGCATTAAAGTCCCCCCCCAAGCAGACCGGCAAGTTGATGCTTTGAACAGCACATAAAAAATCCCTAAAAAATTCCTCTTTATCAGCCTCTACTGATGGACCATACACATTGATAATGACACATTCAAAATTGCTCATCTTAAACTTCCCTGATAATGCCATAAATCTACCACTGTTAATCTGTGCACTAACCTCAAAGTCATTCTCATTCCATAAACATATTAAACCTCCTGCCGAACCATCAGCTGGAACAAAACAGCTGCCTCTGAGCAGATTACCCCCAAGCTTTCTTGTTAATCCACTTCTACAGACATTCAATTTTGATTCTTGAAGTAGTAAAATAGCCGGCTTTTCTATAAGAACCAACCTCGACACTGCCCTGATTTTTTCAGACTTCCCAAGCCCCCTAATATTCCATGTAATAATTTTTAGTTTTGACATTTAAATTAATAACATTCAACACCAAATACAATCCACAAGGTACGATCAGGAGGCCTTTCCAATCCCCAACAATTCCATCTTGAAAATCTCATCCTCTACAATTTGATTCCCCCCTATAAAGGAAATTCCCAGCATGTCACAGACTTCCCTAGTATGTTCCGCTTCCTGCCTGGCTTGAACAGAGTCTTGAGATGGCTGAGACACCTCCTAACGTATTCCACTGACTCCCTGTCCGTGCTACCAGTCACCCTCCTATATATTCTATCATGAAATCTTACTTCCACTTCACCTTCCGAACATACACTACCCGAATGACAAGGAGCAATTCTGAACCTTCTCCTGTTCATTAGATTTGTTGATCGAGAAAAGCCCTGACCAGAATTTTTTGTAGACTCCAAACTGCTCTCCTTATCTAAGAATCCACCCTCCACCTCATGGTCAGCAGATACACTATTCCTATCCATGTCCATTTGTCTATGAGAATTTATCACATTATCCTCAATTATACTCCGCTGCTCAATAGCCTGCTCTTCGATCAATTCGACGCCCTGCTCAGCTTGTACCAATTCCTTCTCCCCCCCTGAAATTATAATCACTTGCCTAGGATTATCAACTTCTACAGGGACCAAAGGATTGACTAAAATGTTATTGGGCTGGAAAATTAGTTTGTCTCCAATCCTTTTTACGTTATATGCAGGCCCAGAAGGACAGATTTTCATAGTAGAGTTTAGGGGAGACTCATTAACATCAGATTGGTTTTTTTCATCGGGAGAAGAACTTTCTCTCAGACCTAGTCCCACGTGACCTTCCACTTGGGCAGACCTATTTTCCACTAAACCTGACAGCCCACAATTGGACTTTCCTGCATTTGACTTTCTTGAAGTAGCCTGACCCTCAGTACCTCCATTCATACCACTATTATGACCATTATTCAGCCAAGAAGTAACTTTATGCACAGAAATCTCTGCAAAATCTTCTCCTTCAACTGCTCTTTCTGGAACACAGTCCTCCTCTGACTCGGAAAGGACAGAATCCCTGTTCACCTTGTTTGAAAATTTCTCTTCCATCTTCCTCCCCAGTTCATTCGGCTGGATCAACACAGACCCCATGAGAATCTTAACTTTGAAAGATCTACCATAAGAACCTACAATGACCATTTCTGGAACATCGAAGGGACTCTCCACCCTTAACAAAACCTTCGCAGACGAAAGGTCGTATCTCATCTTTGATTCTTCCTTAAAACAAATGAACCTTCCCCAATCCTTAGTGAGCTTCTCCAAGAAAGCCTCATTCCAGCACAATAAGGGCAAACCACACAGTTCTATTTGGCACAAAGCCAAAGGAACACCATTCTCATTAACTGCTGGAGCTAACCAATCGAAACACAAGGACAACACTTCCTTCTTGTTTTCCCAAGCATAAGAAAATTCATCCACAGAATTAAAAGTGATGATACAAGCCTTCCATGCATAACCCCATCTCGACACCTGAATTCCCAATCCCTCTATCTCCATGGCTTCCTTTGCCGACTCATAATCATAAGTTGGTTTCATTATTCCTGTTAATGATCGTTTCACCCACTTGAAATTGTCTGTCGCAATATGCATCTCCCACACGTTCCTCACACCAGTAGCATTTCGTTTGCTGCCCTCCACCAACATCTCCGACTCTTGTTCTCTTCTCTTGTTTACATCAGACCTCGCTACTTCCTTATACGTTCTGCCATCCCTGAAGCTTTGCATCGACTTTGCCTTTAGCCCATTTGAAACCAACTCCTGCTCTCTTGACTTGAACCTCAACATACTCTTCCCATCATCAACCTCCTTCTTAGTTCCCTTCTGATACTTAGCAACCCCTACCGATAATCTCCTCCCATCGAACCATCTCCCATTCACAGACTGGATAGCTTTTTCCCTACTTTCCTCATCAATAAATTGGACAAAAGCGAATGTTGAGGACTTGTACTTTGATTTCTCTAAATACCGCGGAATGAATATTCTCACAATCTGACCATAAGGGCTAAAAAACTCTCTAAGGACTCGTCTTGAAACCCTCTTACTAAGATTGTCAATGAACACTGTCCATTCCTCAGTAGAGGCAATGGACTTTTTCGAGTTTTCTGCACTTCTCTCTCTACCTATCTCACTCATTTCTAAATTCCTATGTCAGTAACTATAACTTATGGAATTATCAAATCCTAAATGTCAAATTACATCCAAGATTCCGTTCACTCTTTTTCTATTTAATTAGTATTTCATTCACAGTACTATAACCTATCGAATTATTAAGTCCTAAGTGCCTAAAGAAATGATCCATGATACTAAATAATTGTAAGGATTACTAACTTTTAATTATTTTTCACAATCATATTCATTGGATTCCAAAATTAGCATCTGTTTAGAGTTGGTTTGTCTTTTGGAGCACTGTTTTGTTTTTTGGATGAAATGAACATTTTGATTATCCAAAAAAAAAGATGAAGCCAGAAAAATTTATGGAGAGAGTTAGAGAGAGAGAGAGAGAGTCTTTCAAAAGCAAGTTTTCTTTCGCTAATTTTAGAGAGGTTCATGGAGGAATTACTTGGTCAGCTTTCATTGATAATCTTAGCAGGAGTGTGCATCGTGGTGATTTATGGGCTCGTTTTAGTCATTTTGGTAAAGTTATTAAGGTGTTCATTCCGTTCATCAATAACAGACCGAAGTATAAGGTCAATACGTTTGCGTTCGTCCATTTCGCAAGCAAGGAGGATCTGAGTAATGCAGTGGAAAAGATGAACAACGTCTTGATTGATGGGAGGAGGATTTCAGTGGCTGTAGCCAAATATCAGAAACTATCTGGGTCAAAGAGGTAGATAGATGGGAGGGTTGATGGGGTAAGTAGTGGTGGTATCAATGGGGAAAAGGTTGGAAGATTGCCTTCTCCAGATGGAAGGATGAGGAAGATGGAGATGCTGGATAAGTTTCATGATGGTAGGTCATATAAGGATGCAGTTGTTGGGATGCTTAAAGAGTCAGAGGATGTGCAAGAAGGAAGTCATTTTAATTCGTAGGAGTCGAAAAACACTAAGGATGTTTTTATCCCGGTGGAGGATAGGGTCTGGCTGAGATCATCACTTATTGGTATTTGCAAAGATATTTTTGAATTTCATGTTGTGCAGAAAGCATTAAGGAATGACGGCATCAACGTAAAGGTTGTGAGGTGAGGCTTTGCTAAGAATGCGTGTCTGGTTGTGTTCCAATCGGTGGAGGAGAAGAATTTAGCGATTGAAGGAAAATGGGAAGCTTTGTCTTTTTGGTTTGAAAGGTTGGAGCCTGTTTTGGATGTGGAAAGCATACCCAGAGCTTTTTGCACGATCTCCATGATAGGAGTTCCTTTAAATTGCTGATTCGTTCCGTTCTCCACTAGGGTGGTATCCAGGTGGGGTAAATTATTGAAAATCAAGATGAAACTGCTCAGAGAGTTGATTGTAGAGTTGCGCAGATGCTTCTCAGGGTTGTTAGTCCTTTTGACATCCCTGATCATACTACCATTACTACGAATAGAAGGAAATTTTTGATAAAAATTAAGGTTGATGGTGGGGATGATTTCTTTCCTGAATTTTCAGAAATGGCTGAAGAGGATGTTCCAGAAGATCCTTGGGTGGAGAGATCCTCCGTTTGGAGTCCAGAGGATGTTCAGGCGCAGCATGGATGTCAGTGGGTTGTCAGGAAATGTCAGAAACCCATAATAGGGTGCAGGAATGGGTCCTAGGTTCACAACTTGGTAATATCACAGAATCCGAGAAAGTTGTCTCCTCTCAGCATGAAAAGTCAAAAGGCCTTTTTGAAAGTGAGAGAAGCGGGAAAAGTACGGTGGGATCTCTATAAGCAGGACAAAGTTGACCAGGAGATTGGGCTTCATATAGGGCTTGGAGAACATCGGTTGAGTGGCCTGGATCAAGAAAATTGCCAATTAACTATGGGCCGACTTTCTTTTTCACCAGTTACAGTTAAGGATTTAGTAAGGAATGAAGATGGAGGGTGGTCTGCGGTTGGTTTTAAGTTGATAAGTTCAAGAGCTGGTTCACAAACATGTTCTGCAAGTTCTTTATCCATGAAGATTGCTCCGGTTGGAAGGAAATTCATCAAAAGTCACAAGAAAATTTATTGTAGGTCGAAGGATAGAAAGATCTGGAATCAGGTTGTGCAGGATTGGAAGGAGAATCCACGAGGGGCATTCAAGGGTGATTTGGGTAGAGCTTTAATTTCTAGAGGTTGTCTTTCTGAAATTTCAGAGGTTGTTGGTTGTTCGGTTAAGGATATGTACAGGTCTAGGGCGAACAGACCTTTCAGGAGACTTAAAAGGTCTCTCATTAGGGAAGCAGTAGATCATGCTAGTGTTGATACAGTATCCTCTTCAGCTTTTCCTTTGCTGTTGGAGGAAGCAATTGCTACATGAGAAATTAGTAAGATATTGGGAATACCTTTCAAAGAGGGGAAGGAAGCTTTTCTACATAAGATTGTTGAATTGGAGAAAGGGTTGAGTGGGGCTACTTGACCTCGAGCTATGTCCTTGGGCTATTTTGGGTTATATTTATTTTGAGTATCATGACTAAGCTAAGTATCTTGTCTTGGAACGTTAGGCGGTTGGGTAAAAAAGAGAAACATAGGGCTGTGCAAAAACTTGTTTATGAGAAAAAACCATTGGTTCTTTTACTTCAAGAAACAAAACTTGAAAAGCTACCAAGATCTTTTTTAAGGAGAAGTGGTTTGAATAGGCTGCAAGGGTTCGTTGAGTCACCAGCTATAGGCTCATCTGGTGGTATCTTAAGTTGTTGGGATGATAGTACTTTTGAGGTAGAAGATCAGCATATTCATAGGAGGTTTATTGTTGTCTTTGGAAAGTTCAAGTCCAACAATCTTAGATGTGGTTTCATAAACGTGTATGGTCTGTCTGTGGAGGAAGAGAAGGCTGGTTTTTTCGATGAACTGGAAATGTTTTTAAGCGGGTTCAGTATCCCTTTG